ATTCATTAGTTTATTTTATAGGCACCTTATTCTGTAGTATCTATTAAATAGTCCAGTCTTCAGACGTTACAAAAATAATTTCGTGTTTCTTCTAAATGTAATATTTACTTAATCCTAGCAGATCGGCACTAGACGTAAAGCACCAACACGTAAGAAATAATTTCCGTATGTCGTGACCAACAAGTTTGTTTTTTACTACGGTCATTAAAGTGGATAATCATCTAATGAATATACGAAATACTGTAACACCATAGTTGACAGTCGATAGATAATGTTAATTAATGCAAATATTCCGGTTTAAAATAAATTCCACTAATACGATTAACATCTTATAAAACGGAAGACTGACATCCGTGCATAAAAAGTGCAGCAAATAGGTAAATATGGCGGATGTCAAACGGTGTAATTAATGGTCTCCTAACCGACTTTGGTTACAGTTACGGTAGTCAAACTCAACAGAGACTAGCCAATGGATAATAATATATTAGCTATAAGGTCAAGTTTGTGTGCAACACAGATCAATTCTGTGTTCCTTAACTTGCATCAAAGGATGGGACGACAATCCAAAATGACCTCAAAAGATCAAGCATAACATAACATCACGCCTTTTATCCCCGAAGGGGTAGGCAGAGGTGCACATTATGCCACTGTACAATGTAACACCCACTTATCACTATTTATGTTATGAGTCCCATGTAATAGGGGGTGAGCCTATTGCCATATACCGGGCACAATTCCAGACTCCGTGCTACTACTGAGATTTTTTAAAACCCAGTAATACTTTGCTCGACCCGGGAATCGAACCCGAGACCCCTTGCCCGGCAATCGCAATTGCGACCACTCGGCCAACGAGGCAGTCATAGTCGTGTGTAATATGTAAAGTATTTGTTACAGAATTTTAAAAGGTGTGTAATTTTGTGTGTAGATGATGGTCATTTTGTAAAAAAAAATAACAATCAGCCGAACATAGTACCTCCTCCTTTTTTTGAAGTCGGTAAAAATTATTACTTAACTTAATGGTTTTAGCGGGCTCTTGTTCATACAGCATAGTACATTTTGGAACGAATTTATTTTCGTTTCATTATCAAAAGTGCTTTAATCTTATACTGATTGGAATAAGAACTTACATTAACATATTACTGCCATATACACACACGATATAAACACCGCAGTGGCCTGTGCATTGACTGTAATCATTGCACAAGTTCAACTCACCTTGATGCGGTATATAGGTGGCGCGCATACGAATGACTCATAAACTATGGCCATGCACCATTGGTGTTGTCAACTCAAGCGTCTCTAGTGGGCACGTGTGAGTTCACACATCATCACATTAACCGCCCATAAGTGTCCACTGCTGTAAAGGTCTCATACGGAGATGGAATGGGTATTAATCACCACACTTACTCAACGCACCTTGGTGATTTCAATCTTATGATATTAGAAACTGGCTACTCCTGCGCATTTTCATCTGGGAATGGGTGTATTAATCACCACACTTGCTCAACGCGCCTTAGTGATTTCAAACTTATGATCAAGCGATTAGAAACTGGCTACTCCCGCGTTCTCCCGGTTTCATCTGCTGCTCGGCTCCTATTGATCGTAGCGTGATTGTTTGCAGCCTATAGCTTTCCCCGATAAATGGACAATAAGTGTCGGATACAACACAAAAATGAATTATTAAATTTAAAGCAGTGTTTGTTTTGAAGGCTGCCTCGTTGGCAGAGTGGTCCCAAGTGCGACCGCGAGGAATGTATTACTGGGTTTTAAAAAAAAATCTCAGTGGTAACACGGAGCCTGGAATTGTAATTGTCCGGTATATAGTAATTGGCTCACCTCCTATCCTACTATATGGGACTGATAACATAAATAGTGAAAAGTTACATTGTACAGTGGCATTAAGTGCTGTAATGTGCACCTCTGCCTACCTCTTCGGGGATAATAGGCCTGCTGTAATGTTGAAGCAGTGGTTCCGGAGATTCGCGCGTTCTTACAAACACACACACAAACAAAATAGTCAACCCTCCTTATTTTTTAGCTTTATAAATTAAAGTATAGATTATAGATTAGTCCAAGTTTCCGCACGATGTTTTCCTTCACCGTATGCCAATGGTGTTTAAATAACCACTTTGAAAGTGTGAGTTGAACTCGATCAGTTTACTACACCTTTAACGGAGATGGTAATGATATAATTAACAATGTGTCTCATGTTTCAAAGGGCCGGCCATCCCGGGGGACCTTAAAGTTAACCCTGATTTACTCTCAACTTCTCAAATAGAAATTAATTAAGTAAGCGGCTTGATTTAAACTGAACATAATGGAGTCGTTATTGTTGGTTATAAAACGAGTGTTGTACGTATAGATCAGTTGATATTTAAGGTGGTATTTATTATAGAGCTTCGTTCGTTAACTCTGTAGATTTTATACGAGGGTCGATATCTTTTTAGTATTCTAATACCTAGCTTCACCTAGCTTCACTGACGGATTGACTGATAGACAATTATTTATTTTGTATTTGTTGACGTTTCAAAAGTACCAATTTATAGTTTAATTGAAATAAATGCTTTAACTTTTGACTTTTGAGATACGGCAGTTGTCTGATACCTTTTTAAATGTGTTCAAATGTGCCTCCAAAAGCGTAGGAGATTCACAAACATGCATAATTAGGTACCTAGTTGTGTTTGTATTTATTCAAATTTTAGTTCAATTTACATACCTACAGCCGAAATAGGTATTTATTAATGGCAGTAAGTTAACCAGTCCAATAAAATATTAACAAAGTCGCTTTATTATTTATGGTACACAAGCGTGGAATCACCGTGGAAATAATAAATGCCATATACATACATCGGTATGCTAATTTAGTTGGTACTAGGAATATGTTTAGTATACGAAATGAAAAATTAGCTACAGACTGTAATTTCTCAAAACGAGGTTTTATTCTTAATTCTAATTATTTAATCACTAAAGTCACCTTGAGGATTTAAATTATAAAACTAGTTTGCATGTAAATAACAATTTTCTTGATAAATAGAAATATGACATTTGGTGAATTATAAATGATAAGCGTTCAGTAAGTCGTGCGCTTCAAAGAGACATCAGACCACCACAGACGGGGCCCAGTAGGGCTGATACGGTTCCCGATACGGAGCCTGGGGCTCCGATTTGAAGAGCAGCAGGAGTAGGATATAAAATATCGCCTCTAAACATCAATGTTTAAGAAATACGGTAGTTTAAATAAATAATTTTATAATAACTCTTGTGAGATATTTCGAACCCCTCTGTGGTTCGAAACTAGTAGAGCATTTCTCAATATATTCACGTGTGTAACCCGCGATTATTTTTTTAGTTAATATTTAGCTTCAACAGGTGTCTAATCTTAGAAGAAACACCGAGATGTGCGGGGCTTGAACTCAATACCCTTTGGTAGACAATCGCATTTAAGAGCACAATTATTATTGACGATAACGAATGATAATATTACTATTTATTAATAACTACATTTTAATATTAAAATGCGTGGTTAAAATGTCCACAATCAGTATAATTACGTAAAATTAATTGACATAATATAATGCGTCGTTAACCGTCGTGTATTTAGCAGTTCGTTGTGGCCATATTTGTCCACTAACACCGAGCTGTGAAAATAGACAAGGTGGTAAATATACAGTTACCCAAGTTATTTGGATAGATATCACATCTGTTTGCAATTTATACATATTATTACTTCTCGTTCTAAGTAAAAATTTGGCAAGTTAGTGTGACATGTTTTTGATTCTCTTTAAATAGGATTGCATTAATTATACCTAATAGTAAAGAGCTGAAGCTAATTCTAAACTTGTTTTTTAACACATAGAACGCCATGGGGGTCACCGGTGACCGACGTTAATGGAGGATTTGCCTTCAACAATTTTCTATTAGCAGTCAAAACCTTAATGATTATAATATATCTATCTAATTCTTCATCTATCGAGCCGACGAAGCAATCTAAACTCGAGACTACCTCTTTACATTATACTGTTAACTGTAGACCTGATACTTAGAAGCCTTCCTTGCAACCACATAACCATGATCCATTTCAATAATTCATTTGACCCAATTTAAAACTTAATTAACATTAAAACGGTTCGACATCCCCTTCCTATCGCGTCGTACATCAGTGCTAAACCATTTAACGAAATAAACAATAATAAACATGGCCGCCCGATTGTGTCGCCCTCTATACAAACAATTGGGAACCACAATGAGGTCGCTACACGTATTATAGGACTGAGGTTATGGTTGCCAAAATAGAGCTGTAGTTTCGATATTATAATGATTTAATTTTAAATTAGAAAATAAACGACTATGTAAACTGAAGCACATTTATACTACTTACCTACTTCTAAAATGGATTTCAAAAAATCTCCGTAGTAGCACGGAGTCTAGAATTGCGCCCGGTATATGGCAATATAGGCTAATAATAGGCTCACCCCCTATTACATGGGAGTCATAATATAAATAGTGAAAAGTGGGTGTTACATTGTACAGTGGCAAAAGTGCCGTAATGTACACCTCTGCCTACCCCTTTGGGGATAAAAGGCGTAATGTTATGTTATGTAAATTTTCAATATAGAAATTACCTTTTTTTCTATTTAGGAACCTCGTGTGATGGTGCTTACAAGCGACTTTGTGCGCACAAATATCTAAGCGATTCCCATTTTTCCCGTTCCCATAAGAATTTTGGCTAACTTTCTCTACTCCTAAGTTAACTACAGGCTAAGTTTCAGTTCCCTATGCCCAGTAGTTATAGTTTTACGTTGTCAGTCAGTCAGTTAGATAAATTGTAAAGCAATAACTCTGACTTAACCTACATCACGCATCCCGCGACCTCTCGATACATAAACTGCAGAATTAAGTACATAAATCAAGTCACAATCGTTTCGTTGAACCCTCGTGATTACAAGTCATTAGCTTTTTAACCATTGCACACAGATAACATTACAAACTGAATGTTACAGGATTGGAGATATCGCTGACTGTCCAGGCTGCTTCTCGAATATTCGACGCCAAAGGCATACGGCACCAAAGGAGATAATTAAATAGATCGGACTAACTTACCTGTGACGTCCGATCCTCAATTGTGTAGGTAGCGTCATCCTCGCTAATTATACTAGTAGTAGGCACTAATCTGGGCACGCTGTCACAATATTTAAAGATGAACACATTCATAAAAAAAAATATTTATACTCTATGGTCATCTCACTGGCAACATCATTTACTTCAAAGCACCTGCAACTGCAACACAACTCGACCAGGGGTAAAAATAAACATGTTTATTATCCGGGAAGGGTTGGGACCTAGCGAGGATGACGCTACCTACACAATTGAGGATCGGACGTCACAGGTAAGTTAGTCCGATCTATTTAATTGTATAGGTAGCGTCATCCTCGCTAATTATACTAGTAGACGTTCAAAGAAGGAGTTGTGTTGACAAACAACACTGTTTAATCATTGAACATTGTTGCACTTAAACAAGATATATGACATTGTCAATAACATCAATATCTCACGAGTACTATATAGTACTAGTAAAAACTTAAGCAATAATCAAATTACGTTTATAATTTCCCCAAGATGTAAGCCACTAAACCATTATTAGATATAATAGCTACTTATGGTTATGGTATTGTTTTCAATCATTTTTATCAAATAAAAATACTTATAAAATTAAATACATTTTAAAAATAGTATTAAAAATAAACAGAAGCCCAAAGCACGGGTTATCTTAGTTTGGGTTCCTGACTTTCATCATTGTATTGTCAGGTAAACTGCATTAACCCTATGTAGAACCAAAGTGAAGTGAAGAGAAGAAACAAGCTTATGTCAATATTATAAGATTAATATTAAGATCTACATCATTATGTATTGTGATGGAAAAATAATTAAATGTCCTTATTTATTAATTTAATTATTTAGTAAGCATAGCAACAATATTATTATCTTGAAATTCTGGTGTCCACTACACCAACTATAGGTACACCTACTATGTACGTTTTGAACTATAACGTTGTTCAAATTCAGTCTATTGCGAAAATTTAACGTCTTTCAATAGGTTGTTTTCTTCAAAATTATCAGTTTCTTTTTTTTTTTTTTTTT